TCATAAACAAATTTATAAACAATTATAAAAGTAAATAAATTTCTGATTAAAGAAGTTCATGAACAAATTTATAAAAAATTATTTCTTAAACAAATGTATAAAGAGATAAATTTACAAACAAATGTATAAATAAACAAACTTTTGCATAAACAAATTCATGAAAAAAATCATAAATAAACAAACTCATAAACAAATATAAAAATAAACAAATTTATCAATAAAGAAGTTTATGAACAAAATTATGCTCAAATTTATAAACAAATTTTTTAATGAACAATATCTCTTTTTAAATAAATTATGAATTAACAAATTTTTAAATAAATTCATTTTTAAACATATTTATGAACAAATTATAAATGAAAAAATGTATTGGCAAATTTATATAAAAATATTTCATAAACAAATGTATAAATAAACAAACTTTTTAATAAACAAATTCATGAAAAAAATCAAAAGAAACAAACCCATAAACAAATTTATAAACAATTATAAAAGTAAATAAATTTATGAATAAAGAAGTTCATGAACAAATTTATAAAAAATTATTTCATGAACAAATGTATAAAGAGATAAATTTACAAACAAATGTATAATAATCAAACTTCTGAATAAACAAATTCATGAAAAAAATCATAAATAAACAAACTCATAAACAAATATAAAAATAAGCAAATTTATCAATAAAGAAGTTTATGTACAAATTTATGCTCAAATTTATAAAAAAATTTTTGAATAAACAAGATATCTTCTTAAATAAATTTTCGATCGACAAATTTTTAAATAAATTCATTTTTAAACATATTTATGAACAAATTATAAATGAAAAAATATATTGACAAATTTATAAAAAAATATTTCATAAACAAATGTATAAATAAACAAACTTTTTAATAAACAAATTCATGAAAAAAATCAAAATAAACAAACTCATAAACAAATTTATAAACAATTGTAAAAGTAAATAAATTTATGAATAAAGAAGTTCATGAACAAATTTATAAAAAATTATTTCATAAACAAATGTATAAAGAGATAAATTTACAAACAAATGTATAAATAAACAAACTTCTGAATAAACAAATTCATGAAAAAAATCATAAATAAACAAACTCATAAACAAATATAAAAATAAACAAATTTATGTATAAAGAAGTTTATGAACAAATTTATGCTCAAATTTATAAACAATTTTTTTAATAAACAAGATCTCTTCTTAAATAAAATATCGATTGACAAATTTTTAAATAAATATATTTTTAAACATATTTATAACCAAATTTATAAACAAGTTTATTAATAAATAAATGTATAAACAAATTGATAGATGAACAAAGATATAAACAAATTTATGAAAAAATTATAAATAAAAAAGTGTATTGACAAGTGGTTCAAAGAGTTAGATAAACAAATGTATAAAGACACAAATTTACAAACAATTGTATAAGTAAGCAAATTTTTGAATAAACAAATCGATAAACAAAGTCATGAAAAAAATTATAAATCAACAAACTCATAAACAGATTTATGAACAAATATAAAAATAAACAAATTTATAAATAAAGAAGTTCATGAACGAATTTTTGGTCAAATTTATAAACAAATTTTTTAATAAACAACATCTCTTCTTAAATAAATTTTCGATTGACAAATTTTTAAATAAATATATTTTTAAACATATTTATGAACAAATTCATAAACAAGTTTATTAATAAATAAATGTATAAACAAATTGATAGATGAACAAAAATATAAACAAATTTATGAAAAAATTATAAATAAAAAAGTGTATTGACAAGTGGTTCAAAAAGTTAGATAAACAAATGTATAAAGACACAAATTTACAAACAACTGTGTAAATAAGCAAATTTTTGAATAAACAAATCGATAAACAAAGTCATAAAAAAAATTATAAATAAACAAACTCATAAACCGATTTATGAACAAATATAAAAATAAACAAATTTATAAATAAAGAAGTTCATGAACGAATTTATGGTCAAATTTATAAACAAATTTTTTAATAAAGCAGATCTCTTCTTAAATAAATTATCGATTGACAAATTTTTAAACAAATATATTTTTAAACATATTTAAGAACAAATTTATAAACAAGTTTATTAATAAATAAATGTATAAACAAATTGAAAGATGAACAATAATATAAACAAATTTATGAAAAAATTATAAATAATAAAGTGTATTGACAAGTGGTTCAAAAAGTTAGGTAAATGTATAAAGACACAAATTTACAAACAAATTTTTGAATAAACAAATCGATAAACAAAGTCATGAAAAAAATTATAAATAAACAAACTCTTAAACAGATTTATGAACAAATATAAAAATAAACAAATTTATAAATAAAGAAATACATGAACGAATTTATGGTCAAATTTATAAACAAATTTTTTGATAAACAACATCTCTTCTTAAATAAATTTTCGATTGACAAATTTTTAAATAAATACATTTTAGACATATTCATGAACTAATTTATAAACAAGTTTATTAATAAATAAATGTATAAACAAATTGATAGATGAACAAAAGATATAAACAAATTTATGAAAAAATTATAAATAAAAAAGTGTATTGACAAGTGTTGTTGAAAAGTTAGATAAACAAATGTATAAAGACACAAATTTACAAACAATTGTATAAGTAAGCAAATTTTTTAATACACAAATCGATAAACAAATTCATGAAGAAAATCATAAATAAACAAACTCATAAACAAATTTATAAACAAATATAAAAATAAACAAATATATGGTCATATTTATAAACAAACTCTTTAATAAACAAATTTGTATATGTGAATGAACAAATTCTGGTCTTAAATATCGATTAACAAATTTTTAAATAAATACATTTATAAATATATGTATTTATGAACAAATTTATAAACAAGTTTATTAATAAATAAATGGATAAACAAATTGATAGATGAACAAATATATAAACAAATTTATAAATGAAGAAGTTTATGAAAAAATGTATGCTCAAATTTATAAACAAATTTTTTAATAAATAAATTTATGCTTGACTAAACAAATTCTCTTCTCAAATAAATTATCGATTAACAAATTTGTAAATAAAAACATTTTTAAACATATTTATAAACAAATTTATAAAAAAATGTTTCATAAACAAATGTATAAAGACACAATTTACAAACAAATGTATAAATAAACAAATCTATACACAAATTTATGAAAGAAATCATAAATAAGCAAACTCATAAACAAATACATAAATAAAGAAATTTATGAACAAATTTATGCGTAAATAAAGAAATTCTCTTATTAAACAAATTATCCATTAACAAATTTTTAAATTAATAGATTTTGAACATATTTATAAGCAATTTTTTGAACAAATTTGCAATTATACAAATTTATAAACAAATTTGGGAAAAAATTATAAATAAGCAAATTATAAGTAAACAAATTTATTAATAAACAAATTTGTCGACAATTTATTTATATAATATACCAATTTATAAATTAAAAAATGTATGAAAAGTACACTTATAAATAAACAAAAAATTAAGAAACCTGTCAACAAATTTTGTAGACACAAATTTATAAATGAAAAATACAATTAATCAAGTTGCAAACAAATTTTTGAACAAATTTAAAAATTAACAAATTATATACAAAGAAATTTATAAATAATCAATTTTATTTGACTTGACTTATCGCAATTATAACCTTTTTTATTTTAGTGCTAAAATATCTTACTAAAAATTATATAGTAAATCAATATTTACAGACGTTTCATTTTGTTGCATTTAAAACGATAACCTCGAGTATCATTCAAATGCAGTTATCTAATTAAGATGACTTGAGTGGGGCATTCCTATATAAGGCCATTTTGTCCAGATTCTTGCACAACTGAATACAACCTTCAAAATGAAGTACATCTTTGTTGCACTAGCCTTATTTTCCGGTGAGAAATTTTTTGTAAAAAAATTACCTTTTTGTTATTTTATAGTTGGTCACTTTTTTGTCAAATCTAACTCTTCGCAGTTTTCAGCAGCTTTCGCTGCGATTCCAGCGGAGAAGTGATCGACACCGTCAAATCGAAACACGTCAAAAAGCTCCTATCCAAAAACAAGGAACACGTAGACGAAGGTCTAGAAAAATTGGAACAACACTGCCCTGGAGTTACCAACAAACTAAAGGCAAAAAACCATCAATCACCGTTTTTTCATACTAAAAATCCTTTTTCAGGAAGCCATCAAATCCTTCGTAGAATGCGACGACAAAGTCGACGACGCGTTGACAATTTGCCAACAAATCCAAACCTCCAGCATTAACTGCACCGCCCCCTTGTTCAAAGTGGTCGACGATTGTCTGCCCCCAAAAGCCAGAGGCTTGCCCACACTTGGCCTCAAGAGCCTGGTTTCGGTAGCCGACTTTTTGTGCAAACAAAACGGGGAGACAATTTTTGGTAAACTAGACAATCGTGTCAAAATTAGTCTTAATTCTGGTTTGTAGAGCTAGCGAATCCTTGTTTGTGGGGATTCGCAATAGTAGACGCCGAAAACGAGAGTAATGTGACTACAGAGTGTGACAAGAAATTTGCCACAGTGATTGAGGAAGTTAACGGTCTGATTGAGCAAAACAATCCCGAGCAAATTCCAACCAAGACAGAAATTTGCAAGTGAGTGGGTTTAAGTCGGGTTTGGCCGAAACCAAAGAGTTTTGTTTTAGCACAATTACTGGCTTCAGAAGCTGTGTCAAAACCGAGACTGTGGCTTCTTGCAAGTGCCAGAAAACTCAAGATGCCGCGATTGGATTGTTCGATGCCTTCGTGGCCCCTTGTAGCCACATCAACGAAGTCTAAATTATTATTAAATGTTTGTTCTGTTTATTTTTTCATTCAACTTTGAAATATTGTGTGCGATAAAGCAAATGATAATCTTTAAACATAAAAGTTATATAATCCAAACATGTTTTTGTATTTAGCGATTGATAACCTTTGTGCATCAACACTGGAAGTCGTTTAGACGATAATCGCTGGGCGTTCACTATAAAAAGAACTAAAGATCGAATTTTTAATATCAGTGTGAACGAAAACAAGTGTCGTCACCATGAAGAAGTACATTTTTGTAGCTTTTGCTCTTTTTGCAGGTAGAAGAATGAGGTTTTATCACGATTCGTTGATATCAATATTTTTGATTTGCAGTTATCGGGGGCGTGAAAAGCGACTCCAGCGAGGAAGTCCTGGAAGAAATCAAGTCCAAACACCTCAAAAAGTACCTGTCGTCACACAAAGAAAATATTGATGAAGGTTTCCAGAAACTGGAAGAACATTGTCCTGGTGTTACCGAAAAATTAAAAGTATGTCAATTTATCGTCGTTTCTTTTGGTAACCCTTTTTTTCAGCAAGCCGTTAAATCCTTCAAAGAGTGCGACGACAAAGCCGACGATTCCTTGACCATTTGCCACGCCATCCAAAGTTACACCTTGAACTGCACCGCCCCCGTGATCCAAGTAATCGACGACTGCCTGCCCCCAAGAGCCAAAGGACTACCCAAATTTGGTCTCGAAAGTATCGTTTCAGTAGCCGACTTTTTGTGCAAACAAACCGGCGAATCCATTTTTGGTAGGTAACTTAACTCAACTGGTTTAAAATAATACACCACACATTCCAGAACTGGCAAATCCGTGCCTGTGGGAAGACGTCGAGGACGAACAAGAAGACCAGTGTATCGAAAACTTGAAAGAGCTTTCTGGAAAGTTCGGAGAAAAAGACGATATTCCTAGCAAAATCGAGATTTGTAGGTTAGTATATACTCCTATATTTGGGTAAGGGTTTACAGGACACTGAAACTGACTGCGTTTATAGCGCCACACCTACTCTAAGAGGTTGTATCCAAACACGTGCCACAACTCACTGTAAAAACCAGAAGACCAGAAATGCCATCCTCGGGTTCTTTGATGCCGTAGTGGCTCCTTGTAAGCAGGTCCCGCTGGAAACTTTGACTTCCGCCACGAAAATTTTCACTTCTCCGAAGAAAAGTTTGGGTTCCATCACGGACAATTTCCTCTAAATGTCGTCTGTGGTTATTTACTTAATGTTTTGACAATAAAAGTTTTATCACTGTAATTTGGTAATTTAATTTTTCAGAAACCACGGAAATTTTACGTCTTTTTTAATCGACTTTGACACAATAAATATACCAGAATTGTGAAATTAACTGAAATAAATGATAAGGCAAGGTTATCTACCAAGAACAATATTTTTGCGGATGGTTAAGAAGTCACTTAAACAAAGACAATAAAGTAACCTTTACAGTTAAAAAAAGACAAAAATATTAACTGTCATGGACGTCTTTGCTATAGTTGTAATTAAAAAACTTTTGTTGTGATCACGTTTCCAGTGAAAATATTTTTGAATGAGATAAATTAGTTCCAGGTTCATCTTTCGTTGACCCCTTGAATGAGTAGTTCCTGGTATTAAATGCAAAATCGTAATTAAGTAGGGTTTATTGGTAGTCTAATGAGGGATAGATGGAACCATCAGGAAATGAGGAATTTTCCTGAATCTAAATTTTATACATTCTTCAAGAGGTCCCTGAGATTTTTTCAGACTACTTCAAAAACAAAACAAAATAGATCCCCTGAGATCCTTTCAAACTACTTCAAAAACCAGACACAAGGGGTACCCGAGATTTTTTCAAACTACTTTAAAAACAAAATACAAAGGGTTCCTGAGATTATTTCAACCTACTTCAAAATAAAAAACAGAAGGGGTCTCCGAGATTTTTTTAAACGACTTCAAAGACCAGATAGAAGGGAGAGGTCCGCGAGATTCTTTCAAACTATGTAGTTTGAAAGAATCTTGTGGATTCATTGAGCCTGATTTTTGAAGTAGTTTGAGACAATCTCGAGGACTCCTCTTGTTTTGTTTTTGAAGTAGTTTGAAAGAATCTCGGGGACATCTTCTATGTGGTTTTTGAAGTAGTTTGAGACAATCTTGAGGACTCCTCTTGTTTTGTTTTTGAAGTAGTTTAACAAAATCTCGGGGACCCCTCTCGTTTTGTTTTTGAAGTAGTTTGAAAGAATCTCAGGGACCTCTTCTACCAGGTATTTGAAGTAGTTTAAAAGAATCTCGGAGACCCCCCTCGGTTTGTTTTTGAAGTCGTTTAAAAAAATCTCGGAGACCACTTTTGTTTTTTATTTTGGAGTAGATTGAAAGAATCTCAAGGATCCCTTGTGTTTTGTTTTTGAAGTAGTTTGAAAGAATCTCGGGGACCCCTTGTGTCTGGTTTTTTAATTAATTTTGAAAGAATCTCGGGGATCCCTTTTGTTTTACTTTTAAAAGTAGTTCGAAAAAAATCTCGGAGACTTTCTCTGTTTTGATTTTGAAGTAGTTGAAAGAATCTCAGAGAGCCTTTAGTCCTAGTTTTTGAAGTCCTTTACAAGACTCTTGTGTATTCTTTGAGCTTGGTTTTTGAAGTAGTTTGAAAGGATCTTAGGTCTTGTTTTTGAAGTAGTTTGAAAGAATCTCGAGGATTTCTTCTACCTGGTTTTTAAGTAGTTTAAGAGAATCTCGAACCCACTTTCTTTTTGTTTTTGAAATCGTTAAAAAAAATCTAGGAGACCTCTTTTTATATTTTAAAGTAGGCTAAAAATCTCAGGGACCGCTTGTATTTTGTTTTTGAAGTAATTTTGAAACAATCTCGGTGTTCTTTTACTCTTGTAGTAATTCGAAAGAATCTCGGAGACTTTGTTTGTTTTGTTTTTGAAGTAGTTGAAAGAATCTCGGACACTCATTGGGCCTAGTTTTTGAAATAGTTTGAAAGAATCTTGTCGATTCATTGATCCTGTGTTTTGAATCTCGAGGACCCTTCTTGTTTTGTTTTTGAAGTCGTTTAAAAAAATCTTGGACAACGCTTTTGTTTTTTATTTTGAAGTAGGTTGCAAGCATCTCAGGGTACCCTTTGTGGTTTGCTTTTGAAGTAGTTTGAAAGAATCTCGAGGATCTCTTGTGTCTGGTTTTTGAAGTAATTTTGAAAGAATCTCGGGAATCCCTCTTGTTTTACTCTTGTAGTAGTTCGAAAGAATCTCTGGGGCCTAGTTTTTGAACTAGTTTGAATGAACCTCAAGGACCCCGTGTGTTTTGTTTTTGAAGCAGATTGAAAGAATCTTGGAGACCCGTCGTATCTGGTTTTTGAAGTAGTTTGAATAAATGTGAAGGATCCCTTGTGCCTGGTTTTTGAAGTAATTTTGAAAGAACCTTGGGGATCCTTTTTGTTTTACTTTTATAAGTATAGTTCGAAAAAATCTCGGAAACTTTATTTGTTTTCGTTTTGAAATAGTTTGAAAGAATCTCGGAAATCTCTTAGACCTAGTTTTCAAAGTACACTGAAAGAATCTTGTACATTCTTTGAACCTGGTTTTTGAAGTAGTCTGAAAGAGTCTTAGGGATCCTTTGTATTGTTTTTGAAGTAATCTGAAAGAATCTCTGTGACCTCTTGTATTCTGTTTTTGAAATTGTTTAGAAAATCTCAAAGACTCCTTGTGCCTGATATTTGAAGTAATTTTGAAAGTATCTCGGGGATCCCTTGTGTTTTACTTTTATAAGTAGTTCGAAAAAATCTCGGAAACTTTGTTTGTTTTGGTTTTGAAGTAGTTTGTAAGAATCTCGGGGACGGCTTGTGTCTGGTTTATGAAGTAATTTGAATAAATCTCGGGGATCCCTTTTGTTTTGGTTTTGAAGTAATTTGAAAGAATCTCGGGGACCCTTTGTGTCTGGTTTTTGAAGTAATTTTGAAAGAATATCGGGGATCCCTTTTGTATTACTTTTATAACTACTTCGAAAAAATCTCGGAGACTTTATTTGTTTTGGTTTTGAAGTAGTTAAAAGAATGTCGGACACCCCTTAGGGCTAGTTTTTGAAGTATTTTGAAAGAATCTTGTGGATTCGTTGAGACTGGTTTTTGAAGTAGTTTGAAAGAATCTCAGGGACCTTTTCTACCTGGTTTTTAAGTAGTTTAAGAAAACCTCGAACCCACTCTCTTTTTGTTTTTGAAATCGTTAAAAAAAATCTAGGAGACCTCTTTTTTTATGTTAAAGTAGGCTGAAAAATCTCAGGGACTGCTTATGCTTTGTTTTTGAAGTAATTTTGAAACAATCTCGGAGATTCCTGTTCTTTTACTCTTGTAGTAATTTGAAAGAATCTCGGAGACTTTGTTTGTTTTGATTTTGAAGTAATTGAAAGAATCTCGGGAACCTCTTCTATCTAGTATTTGAAGTGGTTTAAGAAAATCTCGGGGACCCCCTATGTCTTGTTTTTGAAGTAATTTTGTTTTTATTTATTTTTTTTATTTTATTCTATTACGTCCCCCAACAGGCACCGAGGCCCAATTACAGGGGAACGGGACATACACGTTACACCCAGAGCCATGGCGGGAATCGAACCCACGACCCAAGGTGTAGCGGGCAAGCATGATGCTAACTAGCCCACCCCGGGTCCTCCTTTTTGAAGTAGATGGAATGAATCTTGGAGACCAGTCGTATCTGGTTTTTGAAATAGTTTGAATAAATGTGAAGGATCCCTTGTGTTTGGTTTTTAAAGTAATTTTGAAAGAACCTTGGGGATCCCTTTTGTTTTACTTTTATATGTAGTTCGAAAAAATCTCGGAAACTTTATTTGTTTTGGTTTTGAAGTAGTTTGAAAGAATCTTGGAAATCCCTTAGGCCTAGTTTTAACAAAGTACACTCAAAGAATCTTGTAGATTTTTTGAACCTGGTTTTTGAAGTAGTCTGAAAGAGTGTTAGGGATCCTTTGTGTTGTTTTTCAAGTAATCTGAAAGACTCTCAGTATCTCAGGGATCCCTTTCGTTTTTCTTTTATAAGTAATTCGAAAAAATCTCGGAGACTTTATTTGTTTTGTTCTTAAAGTAGTTTGTAAGAATTTCGGGGACGCCTTGTCTCTGGTTTATGAAGTAATTTTGAAAGAATATCGGGGATCCCTTTGTATTACTTTTATAAGTACTTCGAAAAAATCTCGGAGACTTTATTTATTTTGGTTTTGAAGTAGTTAAAAGAATGTCGGAAACCTATTAGGGCTAGTTTTTGAAATACTTTGAACAAATCTTGTGGATTTTTTGAGCCTGGCTTTTGAAGTAGTTTCACAGAACCTCGTGTATCACTTTTGTTTTGTTTTTGAAGTCATTTGAAAGAATCTTGTGGATTCTTTGAGCCCAGTTTTTAAAGGAGTTTGAAGAGATCTCGGGGACCCCTTGTGTTTTGTTTTTGAAGTAGTTTGAAAGAATCTTGTGGATTCTTTGAGCCTGGTTTCTGAAGTAGTTTCACAGAATCGCATGGATCACTTTTGTTTTGTGTTTGAAGTCGTTTGAAAGAATCTTGTGGATTCTTTGCGCTCGGTTTTTAAGGTAGTTTGCAGAGATCTTGGGAGCCTTTGTGTTTTGTTTTGGAAGTGGTTTGAAAGAATCTTGTGGATTCTTTGAGCCTGGTTTTTGAAGTCGTTTGAAAGAATCTCGGACACTTCTCCCATCAATCTGGTTTTTGAAGTAGGTTGAAAAAATCTCAGGGACTCTTTGTGTTTTGTTTTTGAAGTCTTAGTTTGAAAGAATCACTGAGAACCGTCTGTACTTTGTTTTCGGAGTAGTTTGAAAGAATCTTGTGGATTCTTTGAGCCTAGTTTTTGAAGTAGATTGATAGAATCGCGGGGATTACTTTTGTTTTGTTTTTGAAGTACATACTTCAAAAACTAGGCCCAAGGAGTGTCCGAGATTCTTTCAACTGCTTCAAAAACAAAACAAACAAAGTCTCGGAAATTCTTTCGAAGTACTACAAGAGTAAAAGAACAGGAATCTCCGAGATTGTTTCAAAATTACTTCAAAAACAAAACACAAGCGGTCCCTGAGATTTTTCAGCCTACTTTAAAATAAAAAAAGAGGTCTCCTAGATTTTTTTTAACGATTTCAAAAACATAAAGTGAGTGGGTTCGAGATTCTCTTAAACTACTTAAAAACCAGGTAGAATAGGTCCCTGAGATTCTTCCAAACTACTTCAAAAACAAGACACAAGTCGCCTCAAGATTCTTTCAAAATTACTTCAAAAACCAGACACAGGGAGTAGTCGAGATTCTTTCAAACTACTTCAAAAACAAAACACAAGAGGTCCTTGAGATTTTTTCAATCTACTTCAAAATAAAAAACTAAAGGGGTCTCCGAGATTTTTGTAAACGACTTCAAAAACAAAAGGGGTCCCCGAGAATTTCTTAAACTACTTCAAATACTAGATAGAAGAGGTCCCCGAGATTCTTTCAAACTACTTCAAAAACAAATCAAAAGTGATCCCCGAGATTCTCTCAAACTACTTTGAAAATCAGGCACAAGGGAACCCAAGATTCTCTCAAACTACTTCAAAAACCACATAGAAGATGCCCCCGAGATTCTTTCAAACTACTTGAAAATAAAAAACGAAAGAGGTCTCCTAGATTCCGAGATTCTCTCAAACTACTTAAAAAACCAGGTAGAAGAGGTCCCCGAGATTCTTTCAAACTACTTCTAAAACAAACCACAAGGGGTCCCCGAGATTCTTCCAAACTATTTTTAAAACAAAATAAGGGAGCCCTCGAGATTCTTTCAAAATATTTCAAAAACCACGGCTAGGGATGGAAACAAATATGTAAATAACGAATATAAAAAAAAATATATCAAAGGATGTTTACACAGTTTTTTGCACACCTAAATTCAAACAATCAATGTCATGCAACGAATATTTCACAAACATTTTTGAAAAGTAAGCGTGATTAGAACTTAAGGCGGATTCATAAACCACAAGTATAGGAGTATTTCACTCTATTACATTTAAACAATGTTTAATATACAAAATTTTGAGGGGATGTTTTTGATTTGACAACAATAGTTCCAGGAAAGTATCGTGTAATAAAACCTTGAAATATTGTCTGAAATCACCTAAATGATAATTTTTAAACAAAAATATTACGTAATCCAAACATGTGTTTCTATTTAGTGATTAATAATGATAACCTTTATACTTACATCAACAACTAGGAATAGTTTCATCGATAATCACTAGCTGTTCGTTATAAAAAGAAACACAGAACGAAATTTTAATATCAGTTGTGTCAACGAAAATAATATCGTCACCATGAAGAAGCAGATTTTTCTAGCTTTAGCTCTTTTTGCAGGTAAGGAGAAACACAAAATACGGTTTTAATTGATTTAACAGTTTTTTCGTATCAGTGATCAGCAGCGTGGAATGCGATTCCAGTGAAGACCTCCTGGAAGAAGTCAAATTCAAACACGCCTTACAGTACGTCTCAACGCACAAAGACGATATTAAAATAGGCATCCAGAAACTGGAAACCCAATGCCCTGGTGTTACCGAAAAATTAAAAGTATGTCAATTTATCGTCGTTTCTTTTGGTAACCCTGTTTTCAGCAAGCCATCAAATCCTTCAAAGAGTGCGCAGACAAAGTTGACGATTCCTTGACGGTTTGTCAAGCCATCCAGAGTTACACCTTAAACTGTACAACCCCCTTGCTTAAAGTAATCGACGACTGTGTACCTCCAAAGGCTAGAGGCTTACCCAAATTTGCTCTCGAAAGCCTTGTTTCGGTAGCCGACTACTTGTGCAAGCAACCCGGAGAATCAATCTTTGGTATACTCACAATGTAATTATTTGATCAAATTAATGACCAAGGTGCTCTAGAACTGGGAAATCCGTGTCTGTGGCAGGACGCCGAGGGCGAAGAACACGAGCAATGTGCCAAAAACTTGAAAGAGATCTCGGCGAAGGTCGAACAATCTGACACTATCCCAAGCAAAGAGGAGATTTGTGGGTTGGTTTGTAGGGGTAAGGGTTGCAGAACCTGGAACTAATAACTGCTTTTGTAGCGTCCTGACTGGTGTAAGGGTTTGTGTGCAATCAGGTGTCACAGCTAACTGCCAAAACCAAAAAACTAGGAATGCCGTTATCGGGTTTTTTGATGCCGCAGTGGCTCCTTGTAAACAGATCCCGCTGGACGCTTTGACTTCCCCGGACAAGACTTTGACTTCCATCACGAACAATTTCCTCTAAATATAAGCCAAGAATTTTGTGTGACGACATTTCCAGTGAAAACATCGAAGAGATAACTAATTTCAAATTTATCTTTCGTTGTGTTTTTGGAATTCCACACAACACAGTAATTAAGTACTTTTTAATAGGAGTTTAAGTGTAATGTAACAAGTAATAAAAAATTTGCGATTTTTGAATCACTTGAAATTCTTGAATAAGTTTAGTTTGATTTCTTTCTGTTTGACAATGAGGACCCGTGATAACAAGAGCAAACATCCAAATCGTTATCGAACACCAAATAAAAGAATACACCCACAAAATATCCAAAATGTGACACATTCCTAATTACTAGTGATAAATAACTGGTCTATATAAGATAGAAACACTAAATTTAAATGTATAACTAAAAGTCCGACTTGTAAAGAACGAGCAACATGAATGCAACAATTTTGACGTTAACGACTTTATTTGTGGGTGAGTTATTTTGTGACCATTTTGACTTTCTCTCATTTCTTGTACTTAACACTTTGTAGTAACAATTTTCGCCCACCACAATCCCGAAACATCCTACAGGAACGCAATTAAGGACTTATCCATTAAGTACTACCACGCAGAAAAGGAACAATTTTTAGCATCCTATTCAGAAAAATTCGAAAAACAATGTCCTGGACTCACCGAAAAATTCAACCAAGCTGATAAAATTTTTGACGAATGCGTCGACAAAATCAGCGCCAATTTAACCATTTGTGAAACGGCAAGAAGATTTCTTTTGAAATGTACGCAACCGTACGTCAAAATAGCAAACGATTGTTTACCTGAAGACACGAAAGGACTTCCTGATTTACTAGTCAAGATTGTCCATTCAGGGAACGACTATTTGTGTAAACAAGACGGGGAAAGTCTTCTTGGTGAGACTGTTGTTGTTTTAGCGCTTTTATGGAATGTGAGTTTTAGAATTGGTTAATCCATGTGTGTGGGCAAACCTGGACGGTCCAGAGAGAAAATCCTGCCGTGAAAAAGGCACCATGATTCTCGCAAAATATTTGGAAAAAATACCTTCCACGAAAGAATTTTGCGGGTGAGTTTTGGAAAGATTTGGAATTGTGGTTATATTTTTGGGTTTTAGGGATATCAAAGGGTTGAGGGGTTGTTCTGAGACGTTGGTGGATAAGTGTGGAAGTCCGGTCACTAGACGTGTTCATGTTGGTCTTTATGAAGCTTTGGTGTCACCCTGTAGCTAATTTTAAAACATTAATTCTGATAAATTATCAAAAAGGTCAAAATATACAAAAAGCAAATCGCAGTCGATAAGTTGAACTGTTAGTAGTTGTACATAAAAATGAGCAAAATTGAGTGTCTATTATTTGTTACATTGATACGTATGTGTAGATTTTTTATATTTTTTACGTCTTCGAAAATTCCTTCTGTTGTAGTTATTTTTACCTATGAACTATGTCAAGCAAAAATAAAACATCTGAATAAGTACAAGACCCACTTCAATTTACGAAACTATCACTCCAGAACAAAAATTGAATATCTTGCACCCATTTTGGAACGACTACAGGACGAATGTCCCCGATTTTCAGAAAAATTTGACGTAAAACTTATCCAGATCAATGGAATTGTCTCAAATATTACTTTTAGAACGCTGAAGTACGATATGAAGAATGCGTTGGAAGAACTTTATCGGATGAGAGTACACTCGTGTGCAACAAACTCGAAACGATGATATTAAATTGTACACAACATGTTTATAGCGAAATAGTAGACGACTGTGTTGGGGAAAAAGCTAAAGGTGTGTTCTCACTAGTGCTTCAGGCGTTTGCTTCAGTCGTTGACTATTTGTGTAAACTAACGGGAGAAATTCTACTAGGTACGATATATATTTTAGTTAGTTGTTAAAGTTTGACAGAACAAGCTTTATTATATTTTTTATTTCTTGTAGAATTAGATAGATCATGTTTGTGGAACGATCTAGAAGAGGAAAACGAATCGCTAACTCGGTGCAGAAAAATAATAAAAGAGAAAACTCTATGGTATACAGAGCATGGGTTTAATACTACCGGTATATGCAGGTAAAATATAACCTGTTTCTACTGGTATTAACAATTAATAAAATATCTCTTTGTGTAGAGATCTGTCCAACTTGAAGGACTGCCTCAAGACGCGTCTAACAATAAACTGTAAATGTAACAAGACTCAAGAATTTTTTCTTGGTTTGTATGACGCCGGCATTGCTCCCTGTAGAAGCGTCTTAAATAATTAATTATGTACACAATTGTGCTATTTTAATTAAAGCTATAACATATATAATAATAGCTAATTTTTATTTTTTTGATACTGATATTTGGATTTCCCCATTTTCCAAATTTACGATATTTTAATTTTTCAATTTTTCGATTTTTCGGTCCTTCAATATTTTTTAATTTTTCATGTTTTGACGTTTCTGAATTTTCAGTTTTCCGATTTCTCAATTAATCTATTTTTTCATTTTTTCGTTTCTAAACTATGTTGGATGTTAGCCAAGATGGATGCCAATAGTAGTAGTCAGTCCGGTACGTCTGCACAAATCTGCAGAAAATGTAAATCAAAAGTTGTCAGTGCATTAAAATGTATATCGTGTGATAATGTGTACCACCTTAGTTGTGCCAAGGGTGTATCTTATGTAAAAATTTTGGACAGTAAGTCTTTAGTTTGCTGTGATAAAGTGAAAATGCCTCCTGTTGTGTGCGAAGATTCTGAGTTTTTTGAAGCAATGGAACAAATGAGTGGTCCTGAGAAAAAGGTTGATATTGCTGTTTTCAATTATATTATTAAACAAAAAGACGAAATTATAAAGGAGCTAAGGGATCGTGTAAAAACGCAAAGTGAGATGATAGACATTTTGATAAAAAGTTCGAACAACTTGGGAGGCTCCACTGATTGTAGTTTATCATCAATGGACGCTTTTTCGAGCAAGAGTATGAATAAAAACGTGAGTGGTGTGGAAGCAAGAAAAGTGGTAAACAAAAGTGAACCTGAAATACGGAACACTATTATTTATCCTAATACGAATTCATGTAATGAAGTTGATCTAAATAATTCTTCAGACAATGGTAAAAATCCTTCTGAGAAGGAGGTAACAGGTGATACTTTAAAACGTCGGCCGAAAGCAAGTAGGTTAATTATTGGCTCAGCAGATATAGCTTCCAGTTCAGGTTCGTCAGATTTGTCATCGAGTGATCATGATTTCGTAGCTGTCACCAGAAAAAAAAGCAGTCATATACATATTACAAGAGTAAACCCTAATGTTGATGTGAACAAGATTACTGATTATATCAAATTTAAGTTAAAATCCCATGAAGAAGTGCTGAAAAATAAACGTCTTCCTGACTTCAAGCTTATTAAATTGGACTCTAAATTTCCTGAGTTATATAGTTCTTTCAAACTTACTATCGATTTTGTATATCAAAATGATATTCTGGCTGCATCTTTTTGGCCCAAGGGTGTAGCGGTAAGGAAGTTTTTTCAATCGAAATCCATACATTTACAGCATAACACATAATTACAGAGCGTCAGAATTTTGTTCTACTCTTTTTTATAATGAGCTATCCTTACTGTTCTATTTTTTTTTTTTTTTTTTTCTTGATGTTTAGATATATTTTGCAGGCATACGTTGTATTTAATTATTTATTTGTAAGATAAACTACTATTTACTTTTGTTTTGTATTCTGTAATTGGAGATTAATCTCTGTTGAGTACAATAAATTATTATTATTATTATTATTATTAAACTTCCCAAAGTTTCGATTTTTCTGTTCTTCAGTTCTTCAGTTTTCCGATTTTTCAGTTTTCGATTTTGCTTTGTTGTTTTCAGTTCTTCTATACTTCAATTTTTCAATTTTCGGAATTTTTAAATTTTTGATTTTCCAATTTATTTTTAAATGTTCCGATTTTCCAATTTTTCGATGTTTTGACATATAAATGCCAAAATCGAAAAACTGAAAATTAAAAAAATAAAAATGAAAAAAATCCAGAAGTCGAAGAATCAAACTATTGAAAATTCCCAAAACTGAAAGAAATATCCAAAAATTGAGAAATTAAAAATTGAATAATTGAGAAATCGAAAAACCAAAAAAACAAAGTCGAAAAATAGACGAATTGAAATATCGAAACTTTGAGAAGTCGGGAAATGGGAAAATCAAAAATAGATTAATTGAAGAACTGAAAAACCAAAAAATCGAGAAATCAAAAAATTTTAAATCTAAAACATTGGACAGTAACATATCGCAAAATTCAAAAATCGAAAAACTGAAAAGCCCAAAAGTCAAAAATCGAGCAACCGAAAAATCCAAAAATCGAAAGATCGAAAAATTCAAAACCTGAGACATCGAAAAATCGAAAAACCAGAGGATCGAGAAATCGAGGAGTCGAAAGCTGAAAAATTGAGAAATCGAAATATAAAATAGTCGAAAAATTGAAAAATCTAAAGTTAAAAAACGAAAAACTGAAAATCTAAAAAATAAAAAATCGAAAAATCCAGAAGTCGAAAAAGCGAAAAGTCGAAGAATCAAAATATTGAAAACTCCCAAAACTTAAAGAAATATCCAAAAATTGAGAAATTAAAAAATTGGAAAATTGAGAAATCGAAAAACCAAGAAAGCAAAGTCGAAAAATAGAAGAATTGAAATCGGGGGTGGGATTTTGTTTCTATAACGATAAAATAAAAATTCGAAAAATTGAAAAATTTAAGGTTTAACGAACAATTGAAAAGTCAAAAAATAAAAAATCGAAAAATCGAAAAGTCGAAGAATCGAAATATTGAAAAATCCCAACTCTGAAAGAAATATCCAAAAAATAAGAATCCGAAAAATCAAAAGAGCAAAGTCGAAAAATCGAATCTTTGAGAACTCGAGAAATGAGAAATGAGAAAATAGATTAATTGAGAAATTGGAAAACTGAAAATTTAGCAACGTCAAAATTTGAAAAACTGAAAAATAGAAATACTGAAGAACTGAAAAATCAAAAAATCGAGAACTCTAACAATCTAAAATTAAAACAATTAAAATATCGAAAAATTGACAAATCGAGAAATCCAAACTTCAAAAAATAAAAATTCGAAAATCTTAAATTTAAAAATGGAAAAACTGAAAAATCGACAAATCGAGAAATCGAAACCCCAGAATTTAAAAAGTTGAAAAATTGAAAAATCGGATAACTGAAAAATCGAAACTTTGAAAAATTGAAGAGCTCAAAAGTCAAAAATCGAAAAACCGAGAAATCCAAAAATTGAAACGTCGAAAAGAAACGAGAAGAAAAGTTAATAATTAAAAAATTGATAAATCGAGATATTGAAAAATCGAAATATTTGAAAAAAGAAAAATTGGAAAAAACGAAAATTGAAAAATTAAAATATAGTGGAACTGGAAACTCGAGGAGTCGAAAAACCTAGAATTTTAAAAATTGAAAAATTAAAACATCGAAAAGTTGAAAAAATAAAACAGTCGAAAAATTGAAAAATTTAAGGTTTAACGAATAATTGAAAAGCCAAAAAATAAAAAATCGAAAAGTCGAAGAATCGAAATATTGAAAAATCAGAGACCTGAAAGAAATATCCAAAAATTGAGAAATTAAAAAATTGTAATATGTATTTAGAAATCGAAAAATCAAAAAAACAAAGTCGAAAAATCGAAAAATAGAAAAATTGAATTAAAAAATCGAATCTTTGAGAAGTCGAGAAATGAGAAAATCAAAAATAGATTAATCGCCGAAAACTGAAATTTTGCTACGTCAAAATTTGAAAAATTGAAAAATATGTAGAAATGCTGAAGAACTGAAAAATCAAAAAATCGAGAACTCAAAAAATCTAAAATTTACAACATTGAACAATTAAAATATTACAAAATTAAAAAATCGAAAAATCCAAACATCAAAAAATAAAAATTCGAAAATTTAAAAATCGAAAAACTGAAAAATCGAGAAATCAAAACCCTAGAATTAAAAGAATCGAAAAATTGGAAAACCGGATAACTGAAAAATCGAAACATCGAGAAATCGAAAAACTATAGGAGTCGAAAGCTGAGAAGAAAAATTAATAATTTGAAAATAGAGAAATTGAACAATCAAAACATCGAAACATCTGAATTCGGTAAATTAAGACATAAAAAAATTGAAAAATCGAAACATTTTATAAAATAAAAATTGGAAAACCGGAAATTTAAAAATTCGGAAAATTGAAAAATTGAGAAATCCCAAAACTGAAAGAAAATTCCAAAAATTGGGAAATTAAAAAATTGGAAAATTGAGAAATCGAAAAACCAAAAAAGCACAGTCGAAAAATCGAAGAATTGAAGAATAGAAAACTCGAAACTTTGAGAAGTCGAGAAATGGAAAAATCAAAAATAGAGTAATTAAGAAATCGGAAAACTGAAAGTTTGGCAACGTCAAAATTTGAAAAATTGAAAAATATGTAGAAACTCTGAAGAACTGAAAAATCAAAAAATCGAGAAATCTAAAAATCTAAAATTTACAACATTGAACAATTAAAATATTACAAAATTAAAAAATCGAGAAATTCAAACATCAAAAAATAAAAATTCGAAAATACAAAATTCAAAAATAGAAAAACTGAAATATCGACAAATCGAGAAATCGAAACCCCAGAATTTAAAAAATTGAGAAATTGGATAACTGAAAAATCGAAAGATCGAAAAACTGGAAAATCGTATAATTGAAAAGCTCAAAAGTCAAAAATCTAAAAACCGAAATATCCAAAAATAGGTAATAGGTAATAGGTAATAGGTTTTATTGTGCCTTAAGAAATGATACATTTCAGCAATGTCAAGACAGTATGTCATATCGACAATAAATATGCACGTGGTACAAAACATACATGTGTATATGGACAGCATAACATTTAGCAAATATAAAGATAGAAGCAGCACCCACTCCACATTATTTATTAAATACTGATTTAATTGACCTTATATCAGTATCATAAAGTGGAGATTTTAACAGCAATGTTTTAATTTTTATTAGAAACTGGGGCATTGGTAGTGACGCAATATTATCGGGTAGGCAGTTGTAAAACTGAGGACCATAGTAATTGATGGAGTTTCTACTTTTATTTATTCTCCGAAAGTCAAGGCAGATATCATCACCCTGTCTGGTGTTATAACAATGGTGGTCGCGATTTTTCGTGTAGCTTTCAATGCGCGTTTTCACATTTGCTAAGCATTGGTATACATAGAGCGATGGAACTGTCAAGATTCCATGTTCTACGTAATATTGCCTCACATCTTCTCTATAGTTCACATTAGATATTATACGAATTGCTTTCCTCTGAAGTTTGAAAATTCTGGGAAGATGTGTTGTATGTCCCCAAGTCGCAAGAGCATACGCAAAATGGCTCTGGAATAGGCTGAAATATACTAATTTTTTAATGTTAAGTGACACTATACTACTGAGTTTACGTAATAGGTAAATTGTTTTTGCAAGTTTCTTGCTTAAGACATCAACATGAGCTTCCCAGCAGAGAGTTGTATCCAACGTTATGCCTAGAAATTTAGTGTGGTTAGGATTGTCTATGCCAATATATCGCGTGGAAAATATCATTGTAGATGTTTTGTCTTTGTTCAAATATAGGCCATTGCGATGAAACCAGTTCTGAGCATTTGATTGTGCAGCGGCCAGCTTTCCAGTCACAGTCGCTAATCTACGGTTAGCTGTGCTTAGGGTGGTATCATCAGCATATAATATTAGATTAACATCATCAACTGCTGCTGGTAGATTGTTGATATAAACTATAAACAGTAGGGGTCCCAAAATGGACCCTTGTGGAACGCCATACGTCGTTATTTGGCATTGTGACAAATGAGAATTATATAATGTGGTTTGACAGCGTTTGGATAGATAGTTTGATAAGAGCGTTACAGATGAATTTGCTATACCTATATTTCTTAGTTTTGAGACAAGTAAACTATGATCAACACAATCAAACGCCTTGGAGAGATCACAAAATGTAATACCGACATATTCCTTATTTTCGAAACCGTTGCTGATAAAAGAAACAAGTTCGTTAATTGCCATAGAAGTCGACTTCTTTGCTGTAAAGCCAAACTGTGATGTATATAATATATTGTTATTGACCAGAAAATCAGTTAGTTGTTTGTTCAAAACCTGCTCAAAGATTTTTGATAGTACAGGGATTATCGCAATTGGTCGATAATTATTATAATCATCTACATTACCTTTTTTGTGAACTGGGACAATTTTGGATTTTTTTAGACAATTTGGGAATATACCATATCTTATGCTGTAATTTATCATTTTTGTGAGAGGGCTTATGATTGAGTTTATAACAGATTTTATCATTATAATGTTGAGTTCGTACAAATCTTTACTAGTTTTATTTTTCATTTTGCCTATCAGTTCTCTGAGATAAATGGGAGTAATTTCACTAAAATTAAATTTTACATTAACATGATTTAATGGTTTGTCCTTTAGATTCACGTGATTTTTTGGTATCTTTGATTTGAGTAGATTAATGTTATCAATGAAGAATTTATTAAAACCTTCTGCATTGAGATTTTCCGAATATACATTGGAATGATCATGATTTCTATTAGCATTAATCACTTTCCAAGCAGCTTTGTGTACGTTTACAGAGTTTGTCAAGATCTGATCGCAGTTGTGCATTTTAATTTCATTTATTTTATTGTTAAGAAGTTTTTTATAGTCTTTTAAAGCAGTTTTGAAGAATGCAGTGTTTGGGAAACGAGACTTTAAATTGTGAAATAACTCAACTATGTTTTTTAAGCGTATTATTTGAGGATTCTTATTTAGCACCACGGTAGTAGAATACTTGCTGCTATTGAAGGTTCTTAATGGGAATGATTTTATTGCCGCGTTTGAAAGAATAGTCACAAACTCATCCCATTTATGTTCTAGGTCTGCTGCCTCTATAATGTTTATGATATGGTCCCAATTTATTTCTGATATTTGGCTATGGAACAGATTTAGACCCCTTTGTGTAACGGGCCTGTATGTAGTTGTTTTTCCGTTCTGCTGGTACACGCTAATACAGTTCAGCTGAAGGCTGACTGCATCGTGATCAGAAAGTCTAGTGTGACTTATATTTATTTTATATGGTACTTTACTGTTAGTAACAATATTATCCAGGCAGTTCGTTTTTCTGGTATTTTCTGTGATTAAGGTTCTCATGTGAAAGCTATTTATAAGATCCAAAAAGGATTTGACTTTATGGTCAGGATTATTAAAAAGTATATTAAAGTCCCCAATTAAAAAGGAGCACGTATCGTCTAGTTTTAGTAAGAGTAGGTTTAGTAAGTACAAAAATTCTTCGAAATCGCCATCTGGAGGTCTATAAATGGTGATGATATTTACCCTGTACTCCGTTAGAAAGATGCCGGCAACCTCAGCAACCGTTTGCTTAGATATGGATGCCAAATTTAATTCCGAATACCTTACATTTGGTCTTATTAATATTGCAGCACCACCATACCCTTTTTTGCGACAAAAGCTGCTGGCCACCTTATAGTCAAGTAGTGTTAAGATCTCCACCTCGGCTGCCGTTAACCAGTGTTCACTGAAACAAACAATATGAGGTGGGTTGTCTGATAAATGTAGTTCTAAGTCATTAACTTTACGCCGCAGTGACTGTATATTTAGATAAAAAAGGTTTAGCCAGTTGACTCCTAGTGCGGTTTTCCTACTTGTATGGCTATTGTCTGTTTCGCTCATCAGCCTTTTACCTGGGTTGTCCTCATAGGCGTTATGGGCAGCTAAGTGGATTTTTTCTGTCGGCTTCTTCGGTGAAAATATCGCGTAACATAGCTGCCATTGGGCCATATTTGTGGATTCATTGCATCTTGGAAACGGTGTAGGTCAATTGTTACTTTGAAAGCAGAGTAGAACATAGGATATTTGGTTTCCACTTGTTCACATTGGACTTCCGGGAATTCACCTTTCAGTAGTTCGCAAACTTCAGTCGGTTTTGTATTTGGCGCCAGGCGTGATACAAAAATAAATCCTTTTTTGGGGGCAGCCTTAATAGAAGATTTTGTAACATCTTCTTTATTCCCTATTACTACAGACACTACTTTCTTTTTGGTTATCTTTTTACGTGATACGGTTTCCCACTTAACGCTTGTTGTGTCATCTGGTGCTGATGATTTAATTGTAGGTGATGTATTCTCCGTTTTCGTGGCTTTCTTCTTTTCGTCTTCAGTTGATTTACTCACAGGATGGGCAGTTTTATTTCCTGTGTGGGACGCCACTGGATTGGGTTTCGTTGCAGTGAGTTTATCACCATTTTTTATTGTGATCTTATCTTTGGGTCGACAGCTGACGGTGGAATGAGTTGGTCTTGGCAGTTCACTCACATGCATTGTTGCTTCAAATTCTTGGATTTTTGTCACGACGTAGTTCAGAGTATGTGCTAGCTCATCCTTTAGCTTGCTTAGATTGTTTTCGATAATTTTCTTATCAGAGAGACGGGTATTTGCTACTATCTCGAGGAGTTGTTCACGCAGTCTTCGATTTTCATTCTCTAAAGAGGTTACTTTACACTTGAGCTCGTCGATGGTATTAATTCTACCATCATCGTCATCATCACTGCAGTAGATAGTAGAGAAAAATCGCAATATCGAAAAATTCAAAAACTGAGACATCGAGAAATTGAAAAACCAGAGGAGTCGAAAGCTGAGAAAAAAAGTTAATAATTTGAAAACATCGAAACATATGAATTCGGTAAATTGAGACATGAAAAAATTGAAAAACCGAAAAATTTTACTCCTATAAAGGAAAAATTTCAAAATCTAAAATTTAAAAATTCGGAAAATTGAAAAATTGAGAAATCGAAATCTAAAAGAGTCGAAAAATTGAAATATCCAAAGTTTAAAAATCGAACAAAAAGAAAAATCCAAAAAATAAAAAACCTAAAAATTCAGAAGTCGAAAAATCGATAAAAATCGAACAATCGAAATATTGAAAAATCCCAAAACTGAAAGAAAATTCCAAAAATTGAGAAATTAAAAATTGGAAAATTGAGAAATCAAAAAACCAAAAAAGCAAAGTCGAAACATCGAAGAATTGAGGAATTGAAAAATCGAAACTTTGAGAAGTCGAGAAATGGAAAAAAACAGAGAGAACCAAAACACCAGAATTTAAAAAATTGGATAACTGAAAAATCGAAACAGCGAAAAATTGAAAAATCTATTAATTGAAAAGCCCAAAAGTCAAAAATCGAAAAACCGAGAAATCCTAATATTGAAATATCGAAAAATTTTAGAAATGAGCCATCGAGAAATCGAAAAACCAGAGGATCGAGAAATCGAGGAGTTGAAAGCGGAGAAGAAAACTTAATAATTGAAAAATTTATAAATCGATAAATTGAAAAGTCGAAATATTTGAAAAAAAAATTAGAAAAAACGAAAATTTAAAAATTCGGAAAATTGAAAAATTGAAATATAGAACTGAAAACTCGAGGAATCGAAAAACCTAGAATTTTGAAAATTGAAAAATTAATTAATCGAAAAGTTGAAGAAATAATTCAGTCGAAAAATTGAAAAATTCGAACAATTGAAAAGCCAAAAAAATAAAAAATCGAAAAATCCAGAAGTTGAAAAATCGGAAGGCCGAAGAATCAGATTGTTGAAAAATCCCAAACCTGAAAGAAATATGCAAAAATTGAGAAATTAAAACATTGGAAAATCGAGAAATCGAAAAACCAAAAAAGCAAGTCGAGAAATGAGGAAATTAAAAATACATTAATTGAGAAATCGGAAAACTGAAAATTTAGCAACGTCAAAGTTTGAAAAATTGAAAAATAGAAATGCTGAAGAACTGAAAAATCTAAAATTTAAAACATTGCACAATTAAAATATCGCAAAATTAAAAAATCGACAAATCCAAACATCAAAAAGTAAAAATTCGAAAATATAAAATTCAAAAATCAAAAAACTAAAAATCGACGAATCGAGAAATTGAAATCCCAGAATTTAAAATATTGAAAAATTGAAAAATTGGAAAATCGAAAATTGAAAAGCTCAAAAGTCAAAAATCGAAAAACCGAAGAATCCAAAAATCGAAACATCGAAAAATTCAATCGATAAATCGAAAAACCAGAAGATCGAGAGATGGAGGAGTCGAAATTCGAGAAAATTAATTCAAAAATTGAGAAAGTGAATAATCAAAATATCGCAACATCTGAATTCGTTAAATCGAGAAATCAAAAAATTAAAAAATGGGAAAATTTTATTCAAAAAAGAATAATTGGGGAATCGAAAATTTAAAAATTCAGAAAATCGAAAAATTGAAACATAGAAGAACTGAAAACTCGAGGAATCGAAAAACCTAGAATTTTAAAAATTGAAAAAATAAAACATGGAAAAGTTGAAAAGTTGGGAAATCGAACTAATAAAACAGTTGAGAAATTGAAAAATCTGAGGTTTAACGAAACATTAAAAAGCCAACAAGTAAAAAATCCGGAAATCAAAAATCCAGGAGTCCAAAAATCGAAAGGTCAGGTCAGATCGACATACTGAAAAATCCCAAACCTGAAAGAAATATCCAAAAATTGAGAAACCGAAAACTTGAAAAACCGAAAAATTGAATAATTGAAGAAGTGAAAAATCGAAATTTTGGGAAGTCGAAAAATCGGAAAATAAAAGAAAGATTACTTCAGAAATCGGAAAACTAAAAATTTAGAAACGTCAAAATTTGAAAAATTGAAAAATCGAAATATTTAAAAATCGTAAAATTGAAGAGGACAAAAATTGAGAAATCGCATCATTGAAACATCGGAAAATTGAGAAATCGAAAAATAAAAAAAGTCGAGTAATCGAAAATTTGATTAAATTACATCTACTATTGTAAAATTTGGAGATTACGTCATTTCATTGTTGGTGACAAATTTTGGTGAGTGTTTTACCATTTGACAATACAATTTGAAATGTAAATTTAATTTTATGATTCGGTTTATAGATAAATCGCTTAGAGTCGATATAGGCCTGAATGCCCTCTGTTCTGTAGATCAAACAATATACCTTCTAAGAAAAGAGAGGGTGGGTGGGTGGATAAGTGTTAAAATCCTATCACTAAACGTGTTCATATTGGTATTTACGAAGCTTTGGTGTCTCCCTGTAGCAGCGACTGATTATCAGTTTCAAAACATTAATTCTGATAAATTATCTATTTATTGCATAAAGGTCAAAATATACAAAAAGTATCGTAGTCGATACGTTGAACTGTCGCTAGTTGTACATAAACATGACCAAAATCAAGTGTCTATTATTTACTACATTAATTCGTAAGTGTAGACTTTTTGCATATTTTTATCTCTTGATAATTCCTCATATTCTAGTTATTTTTACTTTTGAACAATGTCAAGCAAAAATAAAGCAACTAAGTAAGTATAAGAGCCACCTCAATGTAAAACAACACCACTCCAAAATAAAACATAAATACCTGGCACCCCATTTCCAATCACTACGGAACGACTGTCCCGGATTTTCGGAAAGAATTGACGTAAAAACTCATCCAAATCTATACAATTGTCTCAAATATCACTTGTAGAAAGCCGACGTACAATACGAAGAATGCGCTGCCAGGATTTTTTCAAACGACAGTACACTCATGTGCACAAAAATGGAAACACTGACATTAAATTGCATGGAACATGTTTATAGCAAGATAGTAGATGACTGTTACGGAGAACAAAGTAAAGGCGTATTTTCATTAGTGCTTCAGTCGTTTGCTTCAGTCTTTGAATACTTGTGCAAACAAACGGGGGAAACCCTAATAGGTACAATATACTTGTTGTTGAAGTTTGACAGAACATGGTTTTTGTTGTTTATTTGTTATAGAATTAAGTAGATCATGTTTGTGGAACGATTTAGAAGATAAACCCGAATCGCTAAGTCGGTGTGAAGAAATAATAAAAGAGAAAGCTATGTGGTATAGAGACCATGGATTTGCTACTACTACGATATGCAGGTAATATAACCAGTTTGTGCTGGTATTAACAGTTAATAAAATATCTGTTTTATAGAGACCTGTCCGGCTTTAGGGACTGCATCAAGACGCGTGTTACAATAACTTGTAAATGTAACAAAACTCGAGAAGCTTTTGTTGGTTTGTATGACGCCAGCATTGCTCCCTGTAAAAACATTTTAAATAATTAAACTTTTTCTGATTGTACACAATTGCAATTATTATCTGTTCGCCAATAATCCACATACCTTGGTATATCGCAAAAAATCCCTTACTATCTCGACACAACAACTAATGACAAGTGACATATTTGAGCACACATAACCTCACTCAAATTTCGACAAATTCAAACTCTTTAACCAAATAATTACCGCAATGTTGTAACAATAATAATAATTAACCACATTTTTTACTCAATCATTCACACACCACGATGTTCGACAAATCCGAAATGGACCAGGTGCTCCTGGCCACCGGGGGCTACGACCACACAATCAAACTCTGGCATACCCACTCAGGAATCTGCTACCGGACTATGCAGCACGCCGAATCGGTAAGACCCTCCAACAAACCTACCCCAAACTCACCCCCATTTGCAGCAAGTCAACGCCCTCGAAATAACCCCCGACAAGCAACTCATCGCAGCCGCCAGTTACCAGCACATCTACATGTACGACTTAAACTCCAACAACCCCAACGCCATCGTCAACTACGACGGGACTACGAAAAACGTGACCGACGTGGGGTTCCAAGTCGACGGTAAGTGGATGTACTCCGGGGGCGAAGACTGCCGCGTGAGACTCTGGGACCTGCGATCCAAAGGGACCCAATGCCCGAAAATTTTCGAAGTGCTGGCACCCGTGACGTGCGTGTGTTTGCACCCCAACCAAGTGGAGCTGTTTGTGGGGGACCAGAGCGGGATTATTCACCGATGGGACCTCAAAACCGACCACAACGAGCAGCTGGTAGGTTGGTGAAGTGTAAAGTTGATTGATTTTGAGTAGATTCCCGAAAGCGACGCCATGATTTTGGATATCGCGATAGACCCATTGGGGACTCACATGGCCGCGGTTAACAACAAAGGTAGGTGTTATATCTGGAGTTTGAAGTCAGGGAAGATCGACGAGCCCACGAAAATGAACCCTAAGCATAAGTTTGAGGCGCATAAGCGGCATGCGCTCAAGTGTGAGTTTAGTCCGGATTCACGGTAAATTAATTAATTTATTTATTAAATACTTAATTGAAAAAAAAAATGATTTGTGTAGGTACTTAGTAACAACGTCTGCAGACCAAACTGCGAAAATTTGGAACACGGGTGATTTTTCGTTGCGCCAGGAATTAAAAGTTGAGAACCAGAGGTGGGTGTGGGATGCCGCTTTTAGTTCGGATTCGCAGTACGTTTTCACAGGTAGTTAAAAAACAATTTTGTGCCTCCTCAAACTATTTTTTTTTTAAGCTTCGTCTGACGGGTGTGCGAAAATATGGAATATTGAGACAGGTTCAATGGAAAAAGAGTATGCAGGACATCAAAAGGCCATAACGGCATTGGCATTCAGGGACTGTGCTGTTTAAGTAGCATTTATTCCAGAATACTTGTTATTTTTTAATTAATGTACATTCGTTTTGTGTAAAAAGAGGAACAAGGGTAGCAGCATTGTTTAAGTATGTTATTGGACAACCTATACGGACAATCACTTTCCCATGTAGAAAAGAATGAATATATATTTTACATCTCACTCGCTTCACTATGAAGTGGCGGTACCTTACGAAAGGGGGTAAAAATAGTCCGTAAGCACGTATGTCGATAAGGTAGTAAACGGACGTATTAATCAGTACGTTGTACGGGGAGCAGTCACAAAATAAGCAAACGTACGTGTTGAAGACTTTACTGTAATATATCGTCGTTGATTCTGCAATACCTGCTATGTGCACTTTTTGTCCATTTTTAGGTTTGCTCATGATTTGATTGTAAGAAATATAGCGCGTCGAATGGTAATAACTGCTATGTGTTAAAAATTCGCGGTTATTTTTAAATTAAAAAAGAAAAAACCTGTCATGTGTTGGTAGTCAAACAACCGCTCGAAATATCTGCTATGTGCATATAATACACACAGCATTTGCTAGTATTTGCTAAGAAAAAAACTGATTTTAGCAAATAACATACCCCCTAAGAAAATAGAGAGAAAGTGGGAGAGACTAGTACTTGCTAAAATAAGACAATTTTTGGGAAATGATAGACTTTTTAAGAAAATAGAGGGTGAGTGGGCGGGGCTAGGTTTGCATAAGTTAAATTTGGGATTAATAATCTATAAAACTAGAAACTCAATGTTTCCCTCTCAAATAAAGCCATTTAGAACAATTTCAATTTTTTTGGAAATTTTGGGGATTTTTGGAGTCATTTCCCCGCATTTCTCAGTTATTTGACGACAAATCGTCAAAAATATTTTCGATTCGTAATCTGCGAAAAATTATCTATAAGCCAACTATTTTCCGTTGGGTCAGATCGTCTTTTAACTGTTTCAGACAAAAAATTATTGGAAATTACGAAAAATTTTTCTCACTTTTCTCGCTGATTTTCGGAAATAGTTGAAAAATAGTCGAAAATGTTAAAAGTGCGAAAATCTGTTTTATCTTATTAAATACTAGCCCCGCCCACCCACCCTCTCTCTTCTTAGAGGGTGTCTCATTAGCCAAAATCAGTCTTATCTTAGCAAGTACTAGCCCCGCCCACCCGCCGTCTACTTTCTTGGAACGTATGTGTTTTGTCAAAATTAGTCTTATCTTACAAGTACTATTTAATTATTGTTTAATATTTTATTTTGCCATTTCAATATATAAATATCTGGTTGACCGAGCTTCACTCGGCTCGTTTGGTAGTATTAGATCAGATTAGGACAGATAAATATGCGTATAGTATGCATTTTGAAGTACACGCGCTACTTAAAAATACACATTAAAAAAGAAATTCCATAAGCAGTCTTTGTTTTAAACACTGATAAGTGACATGTAGAGATTAAAGAACAGAAAACTGGAATTATTGTTTGACATCTCATTTGTTACCCAAGTTTTCTCTCTGTCGTTTTTTTTTTCCTAGTTCTCTCTCTCGACTCTAGAAAAAGGTCACAACCACATTCTTACTGCCAGAAGAGTTACGCCTCTGGTGTGGTTAACATACTGAGTTACCGTGCTCTTTTGTGTTATTCCTAATTTCTCAATCTCAACCCTGCTCCCGAAGATGCCATTTACGAAAGTGTGCGAAACGTTGAGCCCAAAAACTCAAATAACACGGTCCCATCCCCGAAAACGATCACATGTTGACACTGACCGTGGAACCTCTGAAATGAATGCTTGACAAAATAATCTCAATTCAACACACTTTCGTGTGCCTTTTATCCGCTCACTGTTTAGTTTTTGGTAAATTTTCTCACCTCAGGAGGTGAATTTCAACGTCCTCTATACAGTGGAGTATGTTTCGGTACGTACAATTGAAGATAAAAAGGTACGTCAAACGTACTGTCAGACTGTCACCCAAACTTCTCAAATAAAACAATCTCGTGTTCGTGTAGTGTCATCTGATGTTGCCTAGCAACAAATATAATTCACTGCCTGAAAATTGCTGAAAATGCATGAAGCTGTAATTTTCAGAAGTTAAAACTATGATCAATCGATTTCTTGACCCAAAAAACCCCTAACCTGTAAATTTCATCGAAATCGTTAGAGCCGTTTTCGAGAAACCCATTACATATATATATAAATATATATATACAAACTTTGCTCGTTTAATAGTATTAGATATAGTAGTTGCTAAGATAAGACTGATTTTGGCAAATGATATACCTCCTAGAAAAAATACAGGGCGGATGGGCGGGCCTAGTACTTGCTTAGGTAAGACTGACTTTGGCAAATGACATATCCTACAAGGAAAGAGAGGGCGGGTGGGCGGGGCTAGTATTTGCTAAGAAAGAAACTGATTTTAGCAAATAACATACCCCCTAAGAAAATAGAGAGAAAGTGGGAGGGACTAGTACTTGCGAAAATAAGACAATTTTTGGGAAATGATATACTCTTTAAGAAAATAGAGGGTGAGTCGGCGGGACTAGGATTGCATAAGTTAAATTTGCGATTAATACTCTATAAAACTAGAAACTCAATGTTTCCCGCTCAAATAAAGCCATTTGGAACAATTTCAAATTTTTTGGAAATTTTGGGGATTTTTGAAATATTTTCCCCGCAGTTCTCAGTTATTTGAAGACAAATTGACAAAAATATTTTATATACGTAATCTGCGAAAAATTATCTATAAGTCAACGATTTTTATTAGTATTATTATTATTATTTTATTTTAATGTTTTTGTATTTTTGGTTTAAATAAAATAATTTTCCTATAAAAGTTGTTAATTATATTATTAGAGATTAATTTACATGTATTGTGAAATAAATGACATGTACAAAAGCTGAGCTATGAAAAATCTGCTATGTGAAAATTAGCAACATTAAATAAGTTTTAATAAACAACTGCACTAAAAACGTTATTTTCTGTAAACTAAATGTATCTTAAGCAAATTATTATTTTGTTAAGTGACTAAACCAAACGAACAAGGACTCCCTTTTTTTTGTAAGCAGTTTATTGTGTTTCCTGAACAATTTTCAATTTTGCACATAGCAGGTATTGAAGAATCAACGACGATATGTATATGTAGTGCATACCTGTTTCAAGGTTAAGGTAACAAAAATTTAATATTATCGCGGTATACCTATTATCCATGAACTGCATGGCTAACAAATATGCGTCCCTTAGTCCACTTTAATAAGTAACAAGTCATCTAATTTGCCTCCAGAATAACTATGGGTTATCATCAAACTATGAACACCAAATTAATTCAATATGAACATCTTCTTACGTATTTTTTTTATTAACAGTAGTCAAATCATTAAATACATGTTATTTTTGAAACTAAAATGCATTTTATCCTAAGATTGTATCACAAAATATTCATCACCATTTAAATATATACGATTTAGACATCAAGAAATAAATTTAAAATTGCAAAAATTATAGCTAGCAGACTTAAAACAGCCTTAAATGTGTCTTGTATGTAAGTGCTTATCAGTATGTAGGTATTTTAACGCACAGCAATAATCGTTCTTGATGAGTAATGACTGATGACTACTGTAACACAGTAAATCTTCGAAATCGAAAATTTAAAACACT